TTAGCATAAGAATTGCGAGGGCGAGCCGATCCAGGATGCGGAGGTGTAGAGCAGTGGAAATCGTCGAGTCTTGCTGCAGGGGTAATTGGGACCTGACCCACAGTGTAGTGAAAAAGGGTGAGATCCGCGGGTTCGAGGGTGAATGGATGTAAGCTCCTTCTGTATGGCGCCTTACTACAGTAGGAGTAGTGGCAATGCCACTAAAGTCTCAGTCACGAGTTCGCGATCGATCTAGCTAGGCGGGAAGGAGAATAGGGACCTTAAAATTCACTTGATTGCGAGCGGGAAGTTCGCCGAAGGAGGGGACACGCGCACAATCACAATTGTGAGGGCTAATGATCTGTCTCGCGTTCGCGGGCAGAGGTGCGCCATCGCGGATCGCCCTGCTGCAGGGCCGCGCTAGTGCCATGAGCGGAGCTGAAGGTGCGCTTCGCTGCAGCAGATGGTGGTATGCCTGCTGTGACGGACTGGTACCAGTCACGAGTCCAGGTACACACATCCGCACACTCATCAGACTCGCGACTCACGACTGACCTGCCGTACCGATGTGTAGGCTTTGCTGCTGCTGCTTGAGCAGAGGCAGTCTGCAGGTCATTCGATCACAACTTTTCGCTCGACTCGATCGCGACTGTGACTGCTGCGTGTGTATATTTACGGTCACCAGCACTGGACTCATCGTCACGACACACGACTGCTGCTGTGCATGCGCCCTCGCGGCGTGTTGCGGTCGGGCCGGATAGTCTCACAAATGCGTGAGGCGCGAGACTGCTCTAGCGCCTCCCACCCACCCTCTGCGCCCAGCAGCTGCTCGCGCATATCATGCAAAGATCAAATCATGGGTACGGTAAATCACGCTTATCTGTCCCGTCTTAACAACGCCCCCCACCCCCCGCCCCCCACGGGCCCCTGCGGCTTGCACGAAGCGACGCTGCGACAGGTACTGGTACACAATTCTTGAAGCTGTATTTCAAGTCGAGCCTCGTTGTCGTACTGAGCTGAGGCACAAGTCAAGTCGCAGCCAACGTGTAGCTGCTCGAGCGCTGTATGGGGAGGATCAGCGCAAGGACAAAGAGTCGTGATGAGTAGTTGCCAATCTCGGCCTCTCTCATGTCTGCATGGATGGAGCCCTTTGCGCAAATTAGGATGTTGAGACAGCTAGCAAAGCCAGCAATTCTTGCCTAAGCATGCCGTCAGTAGTCAGATTCAAGATTCTTGATTGTGCGTTGTGAGTGTGCTCGTACATTTTGATTTGTATGTACGGTACCGGTATGCAAAGATAAGTGTATCTTTATTTAGATAGGGCGCAGATTGTACGTTCAAAACTCCGTGCGTCGCGATATATAGGTATATGTATAGGTATATATATAGTGACCTGAGCGTTGCGCAAGTTGACTCGGACTGTACGGATATGGCTGCGCCACCGCGCATGGTGACCCCGCTGCGCACCGCCTCAACTCGGCGCGCTGCGTGTGGCTACTCACGGCTCCGCGGGGCTCGTTGACTCAGACTAATCAAGTGCATGGGGTGTGAGACTTGGTCGACTGCTGGCGATCCACACTCGTGACTCTTGATCGACTCACGACTAGTTTGACTCCGTTCACAACGACCACTCGTGACTCTTGGTTTCATGTAGGTATACAGCCACTGTGACTGCGCAGTTGTCGAGCCGCACGTACGCACCGCTCAATTATTGCAACTCACATATCCGTGACTCAATACTCTGCGGCTCTACGCTCGCAGAGCGGAGATGTCACGCGCTCTTGCCGCGCCGTCGCGATGACATTTAATTTGATTCGACAAGCATCCTCAGACCTCAGCAGCACAATCTTAAGGCTGCGCTGCCTGGCAACTCCTCGCGCGGCTGCT